TTAGATTAGTTGCAAGTATTTGAATCAAATCATCACGTACGCATTTACATCATTATTCACTGCAAGCTTTCCCACAATTGTTTACAAGACAATTTGCAGTGTGCAACTGTGTGCAATTGTGTGCAACTTGCAACTGAGGAGCTGGCAGCTCTATTGCTGCTCAAAATAAAGTTTTTCTTTGCAACTTGAATTAAGAACTATTAATAGTAACTATTGTTACTATTGACAACTGTTGTTAGTCGCTTCTGCAACTTATGTTGTTCACATCATAGTACTGGACATGTTATTAATAAGTGTGTACTTTTGTTTTCATTTTGCAGTTTAACTATGACTTTATTCAAGAGAGAAATGTTCTGCCTCCATAACATGAGGATATATAAATGTAATTCTTGTTAAAGTTTCTTTTACTCTAACTGTTGTTGTTGGTTTTTTGTTGTTTTTGTTGTTTTTTTGTTGTTGTTGTTTTGTTTTGTTTTGTCATCACGGCTATGTTGGTGCCATTTAACAGAAGATTTCTTATTAGCCTAGTTAACTATGTCATTAGCGTCCATTTTTTTATAGATATTTTATATTTTGATTTTACATTGTTAACTGCACCAAAATGGCCGCCATGTTTTTGTCTTTTGACTCTCTTGGGAATGCTTGCAACCCATTAATAGATCCGGACAGCAGCAAACTTATAATATATATTTTAAGAAACAAGACTACCTTTTTTAAACAAGACACTTTCGGCAGCTGAACTGAAGATGGCAGTACGTACTGCCGAAACATGTCTCGTTTAAAAATAAAGTCTTGTTTCTTAAAAATATATACTATAAGTTGAACCTTTGGAATGGAAGTACATTTTTATCTGTGGTTCCAATTCCTTTTCATAATAATTTGCATTTCTAAAACCTGCTTTAAATCTACATGATTTATTTGAATTTTTGAATGGTTTTTTTCATTTTAAAATAAATATTTTGAGTTTAAGTTTCTGTTTTTGCCTGCTATCGTCAATAATAGAATGTACTTCCGAAGTTTTCTGCCAAAAACAGTATATTAATTTACAATGCATTCAGCTAGGCATGTATGATTTTTAGAAATTAGGTATTGATGGTTTTCAACCATTCCCAAGAGAATTAAATAACAAAAGACACGGCGGCCATGTTGGAGGATATAACAAAAGAGTTCATGGACAATTCTTTTGTTAAGTTCCTCCAACATGGCCGCCGTAAAAACCATCAATAGGTTTGTTTAATTGTTCTGTGAAACAAAGGTGGTTTAGTAAACCTCAACATTTTCATATACTCATATTTTCTTGGGTGATTTTTGGCGAGCTGGATGATTAAATGAGTCATTTTATGCTCATTTTCGTTTAAAAATACGTTCTCGATTTTCTTAAACAAATACGTAGATATCAACGGAAGAACGCTATTTTTATTTACCTGAGCGCTCCAAAACGTGATGGTATGTAAAAGGAATTTTAGCCTGGCATACTTGTAAATAATAGCCTTAAACTTACAATCTCGGCGGCTCTTATATTCACGTAGAGTGTTCTCAACCAAATCATAAGATTTCCCACGTACAGTCGCGTATCTTCGAAGAGCTCGTCTTACTTTTTTCATTTCCGTCTTCAATGATGTATAGTATCTTTTGAATACAGCATAATTTTCCTGTAAAACCTGATCTACGATTTTTAACCCAATCGCTCTGTATGGTGAACACACGTCTAGGAAACACGCATCTTCAGGGGGATGTTTCAAGAATTTTATTTCTTTATCCGGATCCAAACGAGCCCCGAACGCATCGTTGCATGAACATCTTCTGAGTGGACTGGTTTTTTTGGCATTGTTAAAATCATTCGGTTTATATGTGTATGGTAACTGTTTGGTAGTCTTGGAGGAATATTTCTTTTTTACGCACTTACCACTTTCAATGTTTTTCAAGTGAAAAAATGTCGCTTTGATCTTACTAATTTCAATATTTAAAAACATGTCGAAGTCCATATTTGCTACCCCATACTTAATCAGGGGTATATCCATAGGTTCAATTACATCAAAAAATGTGTCATCGACATCTTGAAAACAGATGATGTCTCCCAAGCCTTTGCAGTTTTCATTATCTTCGTAGATATGCTGTAGTATCATCAGTTCATTTTTATCTAAATTAAGTTCTAATCGTTCAGGAAGTTCATGAAATAAAAAGTTTAAAATCAGGAAATATTCAACGTCGGGTTGTGGAAGAATATTGGTTGTTCCATACTCAAAATGCTTTGATAACACTTCAGCAACCTTACACCAAGGATTATCCCAGTCGCAATCTTCCCCACCATGCAGCTTGGCCAAGTACATGGGCGTGATTTTATCCCTTGTATGGCAATTAGCCGTTAAACCAGTAACTTTGTAGTGGTCTCTGGCAACGAACAAGTCGTCAATGAACCTCCACATTCCACGAGTAGCTGCTAAATGTAAAAGTGTAGGTGTAATTCTCTTGTCATCACATCCAATGTCAAATGGTTTGTTCTTGGTCAAATGCTTCAAAATTACACTTGCAGTGAAAGACGCGAATTCGATTTCCATTGTTGTTATGATACTAGGTTTGTGTAGATTAAGATATGGACGGTACTTCACAGCATACCAAATTGCAAGAGTCAAAGCGTCAAATCCTTCTGGACTTTCTTTGGTAGCATCGGCTCCCCAGCCCAAAAACTGTTTGACAGCAACAACATTCCCACCTTGTGCTGCTCGGTGAAGGGCTGTGTAGCCTTCATCATCAAGACATTCATCAATGATCTTGTAACCTCGAGCGTGTGATTTGATGGCTTTAGTAACGGGTCCATCGCGTACTCTTACTACTTTTACTTGTTCCCCTACGGTTTTTTTGTCGTATTCATCAAACAAGTAATCAAATAAGGCATTTTCGTTCTTTAAATATTTTACCCACTTACTTGAAGGATTAAACTCTGAAATATATTGAAGGTAATGTAACTTGTGGTAAGCAGAAAGATGGAATACTGAATCCTCGAAACGTTCTCCACAAGTGATATTAATCGTAACATTGTGCTTAACAAGAACTTTGGCAATGTTTCGTCCTCCTCGTCTCAAATATTCAAGAAGAGGACTTATGCCTGTTGATTCGCATTTGCAGTTTACGTCAATATACATGTCTAATAAAGCATCCAACGAAAACACCAAATTCCATTCCACGCAATGTAAGACATGTCGGCAGGTAAAATGTAATAGCTTCATCGCTAAGAGTTTCTTTAAGAACTCTGGCAACAAGTTCTGGCTGCTTGCCTGCAATTTCTTTATATAGTATTTCTTAAATATTGGATCGATTAGCAATGTATCTATAGCAAATGAAAATGCAGGCATTGCAGTTATAATAAACTCTTTTCCCCCAAGCCAATTGCTTCCAGAGAAATTCCTAAAACTTCCCTTTAGGTGTAACATTATACGAGCATTTTCATCTTGGGTCAATGAAAATAGAGAGTGAAAAAAATTATTCTCAGATACTACGCATGTTGAAGCAACTAAATTTTCCATGAACTTTGTAACTGTGGTAAACCAATTGTCAGCTTTCATTCTGTTCACTGCGATTTGAAGATCGAAGCTGATGGGCTCGATAGGACTATCAATGTACGGATCGAAAAAAACTAGCTGACCAACCTGATCATATAGGACATTATCTCTAAATATAAGTTCTACTGGCGTTCTCCCGTTTCCATTAAGTGCAAGACCTTCAGCACCAAGTGCGAACAGTTTATCAAGCACCTGATATGCGTGACATTTGCAAGCGTAATGTATTGGAGTCATTTCATTTGGGCCTTTGCTGTTTATGTCCGCGCCGATTTCAACAAGTATGGACAAAATGTTAGCATGTCCCTGACAGGAAGCAACGTGGATTGGCTGCAGGCCTTCACAGTCTGTTGCATTATAATCAGCGTTGTGTTCTAGAAGCAAACTCGTTATGGCACCAAAGCCATGATGTGCTGCCAGATGCAGTGGAGTGTAACCACAAGGACAGACTTCTTGGCCACGATAATGTGACGATCCTGTCAATCTTGACCTGCAGATTCCAGAGGTTTTAACTCCAAATTTTAAGAGTGCATTTAACGCTTCATAATTGTTGTGATGGGCTGCTTCGTGGATTGGTTTTTTTCCAAAAACGTTTACACACCTTACTGCATTGTTTCGTGATTTGAGTAGCAATTCCGTTACATCAGGGTAGTTCCCAATTACAGCTGCATGCAATGCTGTATTGCAATGTCGGGTATAATTACCATAAGATATTAGGTTATAGGATTTTTTTATATGTTCATTTCTTATATATCTGCAATCAATGCAGTTATCAGTAACTCTATTTTCAAGAAGAAATTTCGCAGCATCAACATGTCCACGTAAAGCAGCATAATAAAGACACGTGTCGTCAGCAGCTGCACCATGTTTAAGCAAAATTTTCATTACTCCAATATGACCGAACTCAGCAGCAAGGTGGATTGCACTGCTTCCTGTGCCTGATAATAAAGATAAGTCGACGTCGTTGTCGAGAAGATACTCTGCAATGTGTTCGTAGCCTTGCTGGGCAGCAACATGAAGTAAACTATACTCGCACATCTGACTTTTAGAATAGAATAGAATAGAATACCTTTATTTAAACACGATAAAATTTAAAGCTAAAAGCTTGTGGGGTCGTGCATAAAATAAATTAAATAAATAAAATATAATATAAGTATGAATCTGTAAAAATATAGCTAATTAACTTAGATAACTTTAAATATCTTATATATAATTCTCACACACATTCACATACATTCTCACACACATTCACATACACAAACACTTTTACAATTATTTATTTCGTCAAAGAAGTCCTTTTGCACCTCAAGTGATGGTGATGGGTTACTTACAGTAGACAGAGACGCTCCTTCATCGTGGAGTAAAACGAGGTTTTCTAAATGTCCTGACAAAGCTGCATAAAATGCTGGTGTACGACCATTGTAATCCTCGACGTTTACATCTTTAAAAAAACTAAGAAGTATGTCTAAGATGTTTTCGTTATCTGAAGTTGCTGCAAAATGCAGTGCGTTCAATTTTGTACTGTCCTCCTTTATTTCGACCAACTTCGAATCAAGGTTCGAAAACTTTTGCGTTTGATTTTTTAGTTTTCCTGCCCTTATTATATAAGTTGCTAGATTAAAAACAAATCTAGGAGTGATGTTCATTGATTTTTCATGACATTTCCTGAGAAAATAATCAGCAAGCAAGCGGTTTCCTTTCTTTTCATCCACGTAAAACATACTACCCTCATTTGATCTACTGGTCAACCATTCAATTAGAGAATTGTGCAAGACCGTTATAGTTTGCTTTTCTTGGGCATTGCGAAGATAAACGGAAAGTTCTTCAAGAATTGGTAGGAAGTCGTATTCGAAATCAAAATCATCGGGATTCCCGAAGTTCGTTAGAAGAACATCGTAAAGTTCTTCTGTTGTCAGGGGAGAAAGTGTTGCAACTAGAATCTCAAATATTTTACGAGGATCACGAAACTCTTCTTTTGTTTTAAACTTTCGTTCAAAAAAATTCTTGATAAATACTGTTAATTGATGTTGGTAAAGAATTCCAGGTCGCTGCGCTAACTCCTTTAGTCTGCAAGTACTCCAGGACAAGTTTGATGAACAAGAAGTTCCCTTGGCTTTTATTAACAAGTGCTTGGATTGAATAATCACTTATGGTCAAGTAACTCTTGATGTGGTACAGAGAAGAATAAGGTATATGAGAAATAACAAAACGCTCAATATCCCGCAAGTTTCTTGGGTCATCTTGATGTAACTCAACTAAACCAAGACTGCTACATTTTCTTTTTATGCGTGTTACGTTTCTTGATGTTATAATGACTTTCAACCAATTGGGAAACCGTTTAATATTGTGACTTAGGATGTTCACGATAGATGTTGTCTTGTCCAGCTCGTAGTCAGTGAAGCATTCATCCATCGCGTCAACTACAATATACATCGATTTTAAAAATCTTAGTCGAAGCGCTGATAAGGGGCCAAGAATCCCTTGTGCAAAGCAAGCAGATGGATCACTTACACACCCATCTTTCAAAAATTTTTGAATAAATTTATCGTTCATTACTAAAGATCTGTATTCTTGTAATCTCCACATTATCATGTTTGCCAAATTGCGGACAAATTTAGCACCATTTTGTGTGTTCTTGTGTGAATGAATGCAGAAATGGTACCCTAAGATTTGGCTGTGCAACGAGGAGCTTGATAGCCCAGAGCAGATGAGATTTGACACTAGAGCAGACTTGCCAAACCCTGGTGCGGCTATGATCAAGATTCCTTTAGTTTCTTGGTTAAGAATAGCTGATACATTCTTGAACAGCCACTGACGTCCAACAAAATCTTTTCTTCCTTGGTTCAGATACTCACTGAAATCGATCTCCTTCAATTCCAGAGGATCGTGAAATTTGTCCCGTGCACCACATCCTAATGAAATTAAAATGAACAATGTTATAGACTAAAGGTGCAATTTAAAGATAAAACCGGTTTGAGTTCGTATAGGACTGGTTAAGGCTGAACGTCAGAATTAGTGTCAGAATCAGAAGCAGAATTGCATTCGAATTTGGAATGGATTTCTTTCCTTCTGATTCCGATTCTTTCGTTTCTGCCGGATCCTGTGAATCAGAAAATTGGAGTTGGCACTGGAACTCGGAACTCAGAAATCAGAATCAGAAGAAGCGTAGTCGGAAGATTTGATTGTCCAATAGAAAGAATTCATACCCCGTCCGTTAGAAAAAATCAAACACGTGGAAGCTAGGCTTTGGTATTTTTTGGTGCGAATTCTGACACTTCCGTCACTACTGCGCATGCCAACCAACCCATATAGAAAAAAAGAGCAATTGCAAATTTTTCAATAAATGAAAAGTACTAGTTTTTCGTCAAACTTACCAATGTCTTCACGACTTTCATCTAAAATCGTTAGTCTAGTTAGTAGCAAAACCAGTATGATGCATTTTCTCGGAACACCTCTTGGTAATCTTAGGTATAATGCAATAGCTAACAATACAATGCATTTACAAAAACTATTCATATTTTGGACCATGCTCGTTTTTCTTGGACTTTCCTCAGTTTGCACTGCAAGCTTGACTTGTATATCATGAAGAACGCTTTGAATGTTAAGGAGAACGCTGTCTCTTTCCCTTACAACATTTATGCAGTAACTGAGAATTCCATTTATCTGTGAGATTTCGTCTTTGATTTCATTAGCATGGATGTCTTCTTGGTCTTTCATGGAATCAATTCTTGCAACAACATCATCTTTTATGGAGGCCATTGATTGTTTTAATTCACTGACCACTTTAGTTTCCAAGTCTTCAAAGTCGATCAGATCCTTATTCTCAAATGCAATTATTTCGTTTAATGCATCAGTAGCATCAGCGTCGCCATCAACTCGGCATCTTTCAGAAAATTCTTCATGGACAAGAATGCATCAGTTGTTTCTGTTGCGTCGAGCTCCTGTGTTGCTGCGTGTGCCCAAGCGTTACGCGTATCTTTTAGTCTCTCTACAAGTGTACTGTCAATTTTATAATAGTTACACCAGCACAAAAGATTCAGGAGCCCAGTAGCATCAGTCTCTGCACAGGAATTGCCTTTGGCACAACCGTAGGGCATGTACAGTTTGGCTACTTCCCAGTGACCAACACTGGGGTCATTCCATAGTGAAGCATTACTTTGATTCCATGTTGGTTTTCTTTTTTTGTGTTGTCTTTCCAATTCTCTGGCCCAAGAACAATTTGACATATCATGATACGGATTTGGTCGACGTCCTGGTCTGTGAACACATGCACATAGAGACAACCCATGAAGTTTAGTTGTCAGTGTTGCATGGAACGCTTTAGCTTCTCTCTCGATATACGGCCGAGTACCACTGCACGTTCTATACAGAGCATACCCGACTCTCAGCCAGCTTTTATACTTTTCGTTTTGGAGTCTTTGCTGCCAAGATGTCGATACCACAACTTTAGCGTCTTCCATTTTCGGACACTACGAAAGCAGGCGAAATTTAAATGCACGATTAAGACTAAATAAGCAACAATCGACAATTTTAAACGAATATTCATATATAAACAGGAGCATAAGATCACCGAACTTATCAAGGCACTGTGTAAACATGGCAACATGGCGTCCAGTGCAGGATCTCATGATCACTATTTATATGAAGATAGGAGGCCATCTCTCCTCCAAATGACATCACTCTTAATTAACACTTCACATTTATTTGAAACTTCCATTGCCACTAACGAAATCTTGAAAGACATTCTGGCCTTAGTGTAGTGCAAAATAACTAAAATCCACTGAACCATAAACCATATTTACCAATCACATACAACACGATAGATTGTGGATACTGCTTCAACGAAACCGTTTTTAGAGTATATTAAACAATAGGAGATTTTCTTGATTATATTTTTGTTCATTCATTGTCTCATTTGCACTTCAAAATAAATACGAAAATCGGTCACGATAAATAGTGTTAGAACGGTAATTCATTTAAATTAAAATTGAATTTCGTTCCTTACTTTTCGATTACTTTGGAGCTGTTCTTTGCTCACACTGATATATACTAACCTCCCCAATTGCTTCAGTCCTCAGACGAATCCCAATTTCATCAAGTCAACTTGCTTTTATCACAGGTTTTGAACAGCACGATTTACAAAATCTTGCGTATGTTTTTTTTTAATGCTAATGTATGCTTGAATTCTTGGAAATGTAAGGTATATTTAGCGACGTTGTCATGTCTGGAAAATGTGTGACTATTCCAAAGGTCACGCTATCTGTATTATTTTCATACTTTTCTTAAATTTAAAAGAAAAGAAAACACAATTCGCTATCTACAGATTTCTCACTTTTTTTTTTTTTTTTAATCTTTTTAATTCACCAAGCACTTTTCAAATTCTTTAATGTGGGACAGAATTAATTTACATACGTTGTCACGAACAGTCTAGACTAATCGTGACATTTATGACTTCTCAGCATTGATTATATTTTTTCCGAGAATTATCAGCACACAATCATTTACTTTGTAGGCTTCAATTGCTTCAGGATTTCACTGCCCCTTAAAGTATTCAAATGGCAAAACTAAAGTGACGAATATTAAGGGTACATTTTTGATCATAAGAAAATTCTCAGGTAAGAAAATTATCTTTTAAACTGCCGCTTAATTTCTTCCAAAGCAACTTAGTTTAAAGGCAAAACTTAATATAACTAGTCCTCTTTTTGGCGACATCGCAGCGTTCGCAATATTATTATTTCTTAAAATGGTAAAAGTGGATTCCTATTTAAGTCTTTTAAAGTAATTCTTTTAAGTTTTCACTAACATATTTATTTAATCTCCTGAATCAGTCGAGAGGACTGGCCTAAGAAATGTTAAACTATTTACAGCTTTTTCACTGAGAGAAAGAAAGCTTGTTTTCGGGAAAGATATATGTTATTGGTAGGACTGGTTAACTTATTAAAAGACCTACTTTGCTGCGTACATCCCTTCACTTACTTTACACTGGGCTTCGAAAAAACCTGCTACATCAATTGTCAATAATACAAGAAGAATATCAGCGAAAGGCAATTATGCATTCGTGTATTTTTATATCAGTCTGTGTAGAATCTTAAAGGATTGGCGTTACAACACTAATTATAAAATGAATAGGGTTATTCATCGTGTATATAAAGCTATTAATGGATGGAAAACCAGACGCGGATACGAAGAAGTCCGTCTTCCACTATGTAACAGCTCAATACAGCAATATGTATGTTTTTATTTTATATTTATTTGTACTTGTATAATCTATAATAAGACAAAGTTTATCTTGAAATTCTGACTTGATATTGGAAAAATCGAGTCACACGGTACTCTATGTACAGTGCAAACTATTATTTAATTGCCCCAGATATTTACTGATGGAACTGATTTGAACAGGTTCATGGTAGTATCTTTGTTATGCAAGACGAAAGAGTTCTGATATYGCCATCTTGGCAACAGAGGCTTCAAAACGATAACTACAAAAACTGGGTTAAGATAGGATATGGGATTGACTTGGTGTGTAAAGCAATACGACCATACGTAGAAAAAGAAGCGAAGGCATTCCATGGCATAGTGACAACCAGTCTTCATGGACTTCCTCTCTGTACATGTACTTACACGAGACATCCTTATCATAATATGATTACCTGCTTGTGGGCTAAGGAGCTGTTGAATTATCACACAAAAGGAAAGGCAACATGGAGTCAAAGTAATGCTTCACTATGGAATGACCCCAGTGTTGGTCACTGGGAGGTAGCCAAACTGTACATGCCCTATGGTTGTGCTAAAGGGAATTCCTGTGCAGAGACTGATGCTACTGGGCTCCTGAATCTTTTGTACTGGTGTAACTATTATAAGACTGACACTATGCTTGTAGAAAAGTTCAGGGACACAAGAAATGCATGGGGACACGCACCCAAACAAGAGTTTGATGCAACTGAAACAAATGATGCTTTCCTGTCTATGAAGGATTTTCTACAAGATGCAGAGTTTAGTTCAGATCCTGATGTTATTGACGCCCTTAATGAGGTCACAAAACTGGAGAGTGATATCCTCATAGATTTTAAAGATATCGAAGTCCAAGCGATAAACCACTTAAAAGATTTCATCATTTCTATTAAAGATGAAATCATCGAAAAAGTGGATCGAAATGCCGCTCATACGACAGAAATAAAAGACATTCTTCATTTTTGCATGAAAGGTGATGCCGATCGAGACAACGTTCTTAGTGACATACAGAACAGAATAGAAACAATCGAGCTAAGGGAGCAAGAGAAAAGCAAACAGAATAGATGGATTCTGAATACCCTTGAGAAAATCACCTTCTTTCTGTTGATCGTGAAACTGTTGATAGTGTATTTGAATGCGGGCAAAATAATTCTAAGTCGGGCCAGAGTCTTAATTCTCTTCCTGGTGCTGAGTGTAACCATTCTTGAGGAAAATACGGTAGATTCTGGTAAGTATTTGGTCTTGGGTTTACACTAATATGATTTGAAAATGCTCACGTTCGTAAACACTCTTTATAGTGGTGAGATATTTGGAAACGAAGCCCTTAAGCATTGTCTTAATACAGCGGACAGTAAACATTTGCAATTGACATGTGAATAGAATGGTTGTACGTGTTGCTGGTGTCCCCTTGTGAAAGGAAGAAAAACAAGGTTTAGCCTTGTCCCTATAGGCATCAGCATGTAGATCATTCTCAGATCCACCAGAATACATTCTCCTTCCCTCTAGTAAACAGTTTTCTCACAATATTTTCAGTCAACCCACAACAACAAGATACAAAATGTGAAGTTAGATTTATACCCAAAACGCGGCTTAGAACCCCACCGCTGTCAAATAGGGGTGCTAGGGCACCCCCGCCTTCTCCGCCTCCTATAATGCAATAACAAAGGACTCAAAAGTCACTTTTATATTTTACTGAACTGTAGATTGTGAAAGAAACAAGCTCTACGATGTCGATCCATTTGAGCTGAAGCAATTTGATTTCACTGAGTACCTGAATCGAACAAGAGAAGGTTTCGTTGGACGCCAGTGGTTGTTCAATAATATTACAGAATCAATCGAACAAAAGCATAAAGAATCCAGAGGAGTCTTGATCGTTGGTCCACCAGGTTTTGGGAAGTCGGCACTGATATCATATCTGATTTGCTCAAAACTGTCAAGACTTTCATTACACAGCCAAATTCTAGGATACCACTTTTGTATTCATTCTGACAAAAACACCTTGAATGGTGCCAAGTTTGTTCGTAATCTGGCAAACATGATAGCATCGAGATTACCAAATTATAAAGACTTATTGTATAAGGAAAAGTTTATACAAAGAATTCTCAAAGTTGAATGCTTGGGAGATCCAACAGGATGCTTCGAGCAAGGAATTCTTGCTCCATTGCTGAAACTTCAACTAAGATTTGAATATTCAATGTACATAGTTGTTGATGCATTAGATGAATGCCTAGACGAAAAGGAAAAAAACACTGGAAGAACCATAGTGGATGTCCTTCAGCATAAAATAAAACAGTTTCCATCCTGGCTAAAGGTCATTACCACCACTAGAAACCAATCAAACATACGAAGAAAGCTTAGGAATCTTGATTTGATTGAACTTCATCCTGACAATCCAGAAAACTTGCGAGATATCGAAAGGTTCCTAACGTCAAAATTAGAGGGGTCTATTCAATCTCGGGTAAGGAGTTACGTCCTCTCTGGCAAAGATACGTCAGTTTCGGACCTTGTCCAGAAAAGTCAAGGAAACTTCCTATATATTAAACTGATTTTGAAATATCTGCTCAAAAGAGGACTAACAGATAAAAGCCATCTTCCAGATTCTATAAATAGCGTCTATCAAGATTTTTTTGAACGGAAATTTGATTCACTTGAAAAATTCAGTGCACCTCGTACAATATTTGAGATTTTAGTTGCTACAAAGTCGCCGGTAACTGTTATGGAGTTGTATGACATTCTTTCCGATGAAAAAAAGGATTTTGGTTTGAACTACGATTTGCTACCAGTTCTAGAAGATCTGTCAATGTATCTTCTCTATACCAAGGAAAGACAGTCGACCGTTAGTATCTTTCACAATTCCCTCACTGAATGGCTAACAAGTGACTCAAACAAGGGCGGAGTTTTCTATGTAAATGAAAAGAAAGGAAGCAGAGCCTTAGCTAATCACTTTTTAAAGGTAATCAATGGAAATTTCAGCAAAGTAAATCCCAAGTTTATCTTCGATTTAACTACGTACATTGTTGTTGGAGGACATCTAAAGAGGCACACGGATAGCTTCCTTAAAATTGATCCTACGTTAATCAAAGTTAAAGACAAACGTACTGGTTTTACTGCACTCCATCTTGCTGCGGAAGCAGAAGACGAAAAGGTACTAGGTATGTTGTTAAACATTTTTAAAGATGCAAATGTCGAAGATATTAAAGGACGTACGGCTGCATTTATGGCAGTTACATTTGGTCGTTTCAACAACCTACGTCTACTTCACGAGAAAGGAGCATCTTTGTCTCGAGTGACAAAACGGCTGCCAGTTGTCAAAAAGAGCAAAATTGATGATGCTCTGGAATGCAAGCGTCAAATGTGTGGATACTCGCTGCTTCATGTGGCTGCTCAAAAGGGTCACAAAGACATAGTCGAGTACCTTATTAACAATGGCAGTGATGTGTCTTTGTTGTCAGCAACGGGTAACAGCGCCGTGCAACTTGCAGCTGAATTTGGTCATATTGAAATCGTCGAGCTGTTGTTGCTACATGGGGCAGAGGTAGACAACACTTGTCTTTACTATGCTGCTTTATATGGGCAAGTTGAGATCGTAGAGTTTCTATTAAAAAAAGGAGTCAAAGACTCGTGTATTCGATGTGATGGCATCGATGATCAGATATCAGACTTTGTTCGAAATTGCAATACAGCTTTGCATGCAGCGGCCATTGGTGATTACCCAGATGTGATAGAAACTCTGCTCACTTCAAAACATAATGCAATCAATTGTGTAAATTGCTTTGGCAAAGAGCCAATCCATGAAGCAGTTCATCACAACAGTTATCGAGCAGTAAATGCGTTTCTAAATCATGGCGTTGACACTTCGAATAGATGTAAGTCATTTGTCAGAGACGGTTTGTTTGATCTCAAATTTCGTGGATACACTCCACTACATCTGGCAGCACATCACGGCTTTGCTGCTATAACGAGTTTGCTTCTGGAACATAACGCTGAACATAATGCGACAGATTGGAAAGGCTTGCAGCCAATTCACGTTGCTTCTTGTCAGGGACATGGAGACGTAGTATCTATTCTCGTGGAACATGGCGCAGATATCAACAGCAAAGGTCCAAATGACACGACTCCCATCCATTATGCTTGCAAATGTAAAACAACTGAAGTATTTGATAAACTTTTTGAGCTTGGTGCTAATGGTTTAGCACTCACTGCAGACGGAAAGACACCTTTGCAGTTTTTGGTTCAAGAATATTTTATAGATAAGAAGTTTTACTTTGTTGATCCGTATGTTGTAAATCCGATTGACCCAGTTACCTTTGATTCGTCGGAAGATAAAGCTATCAAGTCGCACATGAGAGAACATTTTTGGCTTACATCTTCCACAAAGTTCCTTCAGTCGTTAACTAAGTCCCGTGATATCACTTTGTCTGAATTGGGGGCAGTTCTGGGGCCATTGCAGTCATTTCTGTCATATGGAAGTGTTCTCCCTGAAAATATCATAAACGAAATATCTTTGATTTTGCTTGGAAGTGATCGCCACATAAACTCTAGACTTGTCGTTCTCTCTACACCTGCACCTTTTCCAGTTGACATTGGTTTAGCATCCTTTTTACAAAACCAACATAAAGATTTGAATCAAGTTAGCACATCAACTGTTTTGCCATCTTTCTTGAAAAAAAGTTTTTCAACGGCACTTATGACAATGACTGGAAAAATAGACTTTAAGTGCTCGATTTTGGTAACCTCCATCCATCACAATATGGTGTATGCTGTCGATGCGTTTTTACAATTAGGAATGGATGTCAATTGTGAGGAGTCTGGCCTAAGCCCACTTCTTGCTTATCTAAGACAAGGGGGACGTAACATGGCGAAAGTCCTCGCAAAACATGATGTTACTGTTGACATACGATGCGGAGAATATTTCCAAGATTCCGTATTTCATCTTGCTGCCTATCACAAGTTGCATTATCTTCAGTATCTTTCAATATTTTTAGACCCCAATAAATGGGAAGAGTACCTGAAAGAGGAAAATGCGTTGTTTGACTATCTTTTCGATGTCTATGATGAAGTATCCACCGAAGGGCAGCTTAAGTTAAAAAAAGTTCGAGATGGTCCTGTAACCATAGCAATTAAATCCGATTTCCGTAACTTCAAGATCATCGACGACTGTTTTGATAATGAAGGCCACACAGCTCTTCAACGAGCAGCACAGGGTGGGAATGTTGTTGCTGTCAAATACTTTTTGGATAGGGGTGCCAATGATAAGAAGCAAAGTCCCGAAGGATTCGACATCTTGACTCTCACGATATGGTATGCAGTAAAATACCGCCCATTTCCTAATTTCCACGAGACAAGTCTTCTATCATCACTGGAAATCGAATTTGCATCTCTCACTGCAAGTGTGATTTTAAATCATTTGACCAAGAAAAAACCATTTGACATTGGATGTGATTACAAGAGAATTACACCTACACTTTTACATTTAGCAGCAACTCGCGGAATGTGGAGGTTTATAAATGACTTGTTCGTTGCCAAAGACCACTACAAAGTTACTGGTTTAACTGCTAATTGCCCTACAAAGGATAACATCACGCCCATGTACTTAGCCAAGCTGCATGGTGGGGAGAATTGTGACTGGGATAATCCTTGGTGTAAGGTGGTTGGAGTGTTATCGCAAAATGGAGGGTCCATGATTTATCCAGACCGTGTATCTGAGTATCTTCTCATTTTTAATACTTTATTCCAAAACCTTCCCGGGAGACTTGACCTGAATGACTTGGACGAAAAAGAAATACAAATGTTGCGTGGAGATCACAAAGAATGCTACAGCTTGCGTTTGAAGGATTTGGCAACTGAAATGATTGCATCGAACCTCTCAAAAAACTTTGATCGTCTTCTCAAGATGAGGCAATCGCAATATCCCCGACTCGTTGATATCAATTTTAGCCTCAAAGCTTTAACCCACAACAGCGATTTATTAGTTTTAGGTATTGATGAAGCTAAGTTCTTAACAACAAAATTAATGTATGAGCTGTTTTTAACGACAAAAATTTTTACTTTTGAAGGTATTTTTATGTTTATGAATAACTTAAGAGAATTATTAAGGTGCATCAAGGTGAGATTCGATGCAAATTCTAAATACCACGGAATAACTGACGACACATATACGCCTCAACCGGAAAGGCGCGAAGAAGATTTTCCTACCGGTACCGAAAACGATGCCAATGAAATTGAGTTAGACGCTACTGTGCACATTCCAGACATGTGTTCATCTACATCTGAAGTTTATTTTGAAATGTTAGGGGAGCTTCTTGAGAAAAACAGGCACTCATTTAACAATCGTTACGAGGCTTTCATAAAGAAATTTAAAGATGTACAATATTCTTCGAGACAATTTTATTCAGTTTGGGACAGGGAGTATTCACTCGCCGTTCAAAAAATGTTTTACCGTCATGAGAAGAAAATGTTTTGTCAACAAAAAGAAATTACCTATCAATATGCAAGGCTAAAATTTCTTTTGCATACACTTAAATTTTGGAGCTCTCAAGTCAGAAGAAATGAAATGTTCCCAATTATTTCAAACTTTACATTCGAGAGAATTAAAAGGGTTTTCTTTGAAAACAACAAAAAACAAATGATTAATCTTATTTTAAGACTAGCAAAAACCGATCCTTTAAATGAGTATGAGTACATGGAGATGTTCAGGTTTTCCGATCCACCTCTGAAAGAAGTGTTTCAGAATTAGCAAAAGATAAGAGTTAATCTCGTTAGCTGTTTTTAGGGCTTTCAGGGCGTTGTGTGTGGGGAAAAATGAATGATTTTTTATCACACGAAGGCCATGTTTATTCTCATGAGAATAAAAACTTTTGTTTCCCCAGCATAAATTAATTCCCAAGCGCTTGAATTTGAGGCTACGCGTGGTGGAATCTATTGTTCAATCCAACATGGGTGCCGCGTGAAAAAGGCCCATTTTACAATGTTAAGATAAACG